TAAAAAGTTTGCCACGCTTTCAGTTCACGTAAATTTTCATAATTTTTCGCACATAGTCCCAAGTCCCTATTGCCCATCTACACACCAATTTTGATGTCATTTCATTTCCTTTTCGCTGTAAACAAGCCTTTTGTTTAATTTGAGGCGGGTTTGAATTCGCGCGCTTAACCGGCGAACAGGATGAAACAGGAAATTTTTGGTTTTTGCAGATCGAGAAGGCAGAAATGAAAATTTGCGTCTTCTCTAGAATGGGTGACATAAAGGGAGAAGGCGATTGTGTGTGAGTGTGGGGGTTGGGTTTCCGCTTTAACGAAATCCCCCTTGCTTTTTATTCCAAAACAATATCCAGCTTGCCCCGTAAGCCACCTGCGCCGAGCCCTGAGTAGGAAGAGATTGAAAAGGCCCATGAATTGTTGGTGGCTAGAAGCACGGCTCACCTTATATATCAATTGAATCTCAAACAAGAATTTTATGGATTCGTGATATTTTGAAAACCAATCGTATGCAGATCAGTGCCGCTTCTGAGAAAATTCTAAAAAGAATCATTCAGAGGATGATCGTATCTTACATGGAAGCCATGAATTTGCTTCATTTTGCTACATTCTACATCATATTCTTCTGATCATAGTTATGTTTTTATCATCATTTCTATAGAGCCCAATAGACTTGGACAGTTTTTTCAACTCAGCCGCCTGCACTCCAAAAAAATAGAATCCTCCTCCTTATGTCAGCTTACGTCTTTGTCACTTCAATACCCAAATGTATGTAGGGAAAACTAAGCCGTTTGTTATGTACAGGAGAGCATGATTTTGTCAGCTGGTTTGGTTCGACTCCTCCTGATAAAGTGTTGGAAAAGTTCTGTGTGAGAGTTTAGTCCAGCTTGTTTTTATATGTACACCTATACACAGATATCTTCACTCTTATTCTTTGAGCCGCGCTTGATTTTAGTTGTTAGACGTGCACAAAACAGAGACTTCCCTTTAACTTTTGTTTCTTATACAGGAAGAAGAATCACGTTCGATGGCCATGATAATAAAAAGGATATACAACAGCAATGCTTTGAAGATCCGCCTAAATTACGCAGAGGAGATAATTGAACATGACGAAAATATGATATACTAGATGGCTTACCCGACTCCGCCCGGCCCTCTCATTATTTTATTCGTAACCAGTGCGTCACCTCTGCTTCGCAGAGGCTCGCACTGGCTCTGCTATCTATGTGCCTTACTCATTCTCGTAAAATCGTGGCACTGGAACTCACCGTGCTATGCCGACTACCACGAATGAAATGTGAACAACTACTCATTTAGAAAGCTTTTTCACGTGAGATCGGTGATTTCGCATGGAAAAAACTTTTCGCAGGAAGACAAAGGCAAATTTGAATAGATTTTTGAATTTGTCATGGTTTGATAGTCGCCATAAAGGCAATAGTCACCGTGAGCTACATCTCTCATCACACACACACACACACACACACACACACACACACACACACACACACACACACACACACACACACACACACACACACACACACACACACACACACACACACACACACACACACACACACACACACACACACACACACACACACACACACACACACACACACACACACACACACACACACACACACACACACACACACACACACACACACACACACACACACACACACACACACACACACACACACACACACACACACACAAACACACACACACACAAACACACACACACACAAAGTCACGTAGAAATGGAATTTTCTATTCGGAACATACGTACACACAGACATACATACAGATAGACAGACAGACAGACAAACAGACATTCAGCTTTATATATAAGATAAAGCACAATTTTGACCAATCTATGTATACTAACTCAGACAATTGCATCGGGAAGTTCGCGGGTGCTTGCTCGGCCACCAATCATCCATGCCGCGAGCTGCCCGTATAAACCGATATTGGGCCCGATAAGTGACCGCGGCGCACCCTGTAAGCGCCCGATAGTTGACCCGATTAGCATGCTAATGAGACCTAGGAAGAGTGAAAAAATTTGGCTTGTCTTTCATGACAACGACTGAGTACAAATTGAGCAACTTGTTAGTTCATCTGTCGACATCATCTACCGTTGTCGATATTACTCAACCAATTGCTGGAGTTTGTTCTGTGAGCATATAAGCTCTGTCACACAACTCATCCCGAGAAGCTATTACCAGCCCCACAAACACTTAGAGTAGCCCCATCACTGCGGCGTACCTCACGCGGGTTGCGCCTTAAGCTACAGCGTGTAAGAAGTGCGGCCTTTGATAAAACTCGCGGCACGCCGAGTGAGGTGATTGGGCCGCGACTCTTACGGTAAGCTCTTTCCAATTTTGACTTCGGCCGCGGCGTTCCCGTTAAAATATACATGGGCCGCGGCGCGCCATATAGCACGCTTTCAGGCCGCGAACTTCCCGATGCAATTGTCTGAGTAAGACACCATAAAAACATTACGAAGAGATCGGGTCAATACATATGTTGATGGATGTAGATACTGGGTCAGAAAAATACAGCATGTGTTCGCAGAAAATAACGCGGTAGACCGAATGGAGGCGTTCTTGTAGCTTGAGTAGGAACTGCGGACCAATGGATCACACGCTCTTTATGCGAACAGGGCTTCTTGTCTTGTCTCGACATATGTACTGATTTTATCGATTTTCACGTTTATAGATTTGGTCATGGTAGTTCACACATCAGTTACAGACAGTAAATAGCAATCGTATACACAGAAATACTTAGAATATCTCGAACTTGCGCACAGTTCACAGATTTCAAATGTAGATTCAGTCAACTTGTAACACAGCTTATAAAATTAGATTACAAAAAGAGCTTGATCACCTGCGCCTTTTTGAAATTATGAAATCCAACACTCAAGTAAAATACAAATACTCAGAGATCCAAAAATTTAGAAACATTAGAAGTCTGTTCGAACGGTCGATAAATAGTTGACATTGATCTCGTATCATTTGACCCCCCCCCCCCTCGCAGACTTTTTTGATGATTCTTCACTATCTAATCGCTCAAGAGTGAGCCAAACAACGGCATCTTGCCTCAAGCACCAAGTCATGTATATAATATATGGCATTCGAAAAATCGTGATGGCGTGACCGCGCGACACGGCGCTTCCTCTTCATTTTCTTTGTTTTCATGGCTACTGAAATGGTTTTCCTGTATGATAGTATCTCGACACAGGAAGTGACTGAACTGAGCGGTGGGTGATGCCTTTTTGCATGAGTGTTTTATGATCGTGTGAGCGCAAAGACCGAAGTCGAATCCGTCGTTTTTTATAAATGGCCTTCACTTCATTGAGGTTCCTTCGACATTCATAGCAGGACCAACTGTCCAGTTCTCACTGTCATAATTGACTTTAGTAGCAAACACAAAGTGCTAACCGTAAACCTGCAACTCTTTTGACTGAGATGCGTATTCTGAACTGGTGTTGTAAAAAATTTCTTTACACAATAAAAAAATGTCGAACTTCTTCGCGTTTAGAAAACTAAAAATCCTTACGCCTGATTGTTGTGGCCAGTAGATGCTTATCATCGGCAAGATTACGGCACTGAGCAGAACTCAGAGTTAGTACTCTCCGTTTTGAGCGGTCTCAAGAACATTTTCTACTTTTTATCTCTTTGATGTCATACTAACTTCATTGATGTTGTTATGTTGGTGTTTACAGTGGCGCGCGAGCGTATTGAATAAATAAACGTCACTCAGCTTCTCCGCGCAGAACCACCATCACAGCTCGCCCATTGCGTGATTATCCGTAGTTTTTGATGCCAAGGTTGCTGTATGCAAGGCTTTCGTGGTAAGATCGTTGTGCTCTCCGTTTGAATTCGGTCTGAGCTTTTTGGAAGTTGCAGAAACTTCCTACTTTGGTACCTCTTTTGCTGTATAGGGTAACGCAGTGAGAAGCTCCAGAAACCGCAAAAAATCAAAGCTGACAATCTGTAGGGGCACACTCTTCAAATCTAGGCAAAGCTCGAATGAATAAAGACACTCTAGGACTCTTTGAAGGCAACGTCTTACCAGACTGGGGATACCTGGCTCTGGTAATATGTAATAGTAGACCCCTAACTAGCGACGATAGAAGTTCACAGCACATCAAGTTTATCGCACCTCAAGTGGCCCAAATCTTAGGGTGGGCTCGAGCGAGGGCGAGATGCATGAAAGGTAGAGACGCAGAGTCGTTGCGGGACCCTGCGCTCATGAGTGTGTGCGCTATACGCACTCTGGCCTTGCATCGATATTGCTGTGTGGGCGGCGTCCGGGCCTACCGTAAGAATCGGGCCATTCTCGGAGCAAATTTCAGGCTTGGTAGACCCTCTCCTTCGCTCCGAACTTCAGTCATCGCTCAGATGGGGTCTACTAAAATCGCCAGCAAAAACCCGGCTCCCATTTTTTTGCCGGGATGCTGCCTTTAATGCTTTTCCAGTTCTGCGGGAAAATGTCATACATAACATCTTTTCTTTTTCTCCTATTCACTCTTCGCCTTATCAAGATACGAACTGAACATTATTATAACAGTAAATTCATTTTTTATCAACCGTATTAATTAAAGACATCAATTTGTTGAGATGAGGAGAATTGGCGGCTGTTTGAGGCGCACTTGATAGTGACGATATCGAATTTTCTGCAAAAATTATAGATTAAGTGCTGTTTGGACAAGTAATTCCTGTTTAGTAAGGTTTATCCATTGTTTATGAGAGAAATTCTAAAAATTGTCAAATCCAAGAAAAAATCAAAAATCAAGTTCCGCTCACCCCCTTCTCGGATAATTCTAATGTTTCGCAACCAATCAGAGCTCGTTTTCACGTCGAACCTCTTTCAAGTGTCTGTCAATAACCGGAATCTGCAAGTGTTCACATACATAGAGGCTGTGTAAAACAGAATTGTCAAATTGTACCATACCTCTCCGCATTTGACACACGCTAATTTCATGCTTTCAGATTTCATCTGGAGTTTCAGATTCAGAACTTTTTGGCGCTCCATCTGGATAAGTGAGCTGAAAAAATTTTTTTAGCACTTCACCAAAGTGACTACAGATATGAGCAGGCTGAATATAAAAAGGAAAGAATATTAGGATACGTTGGAAGTCTTCAAAATAAATTTTTTACGCGATGGAAAATGTAATGTGAGACGCCGTCCGAAAACAATTTTTACATTTCCAAAAATTTACAATGAGGCGATCCCCGTTTGATCGCCCCTCTAAGCGATGTATATCGTTTAGAGATCTGCAAGGTTCGCGAGATCCGGCCTTTAGGTCCCCGCGAGCCCTCCTACACTCCAGGGTTCTTGAGGAATTCCCAGACTGGGTCGGATTGATCATACTAGCGCTGGTAATTTTGGCCTTACTTGGTTTATGTTGAGATCAGGTTCTCGGCTAGGGAACCTCTCCTTTTGAGAAAGGAAGAGCTGAAGTATTCGACGAAGGACAACATTACTCAGACAAATCACCGAATTTCCGCAGGACAAGCCAAATTTGCAGAAGTTCCGCAGGATTTTGTTCACTACTGCAAAAATGAAAACGTTAAAATCGGAACCTCCGCGGGATTTTCATGCCAAGCTGGTTGAAAACCGGAACTTCCGCAGAACCTTCTTCAAAATCCTGCGGAAATTCCGAAAATTGCCAGAGGTTACGCAGCACTTTGACTTGCCGGAACTTCCGCAGGACTTTGAATGTGTTGTCTCGTGATGTTGCCTCGCCAACAACTAGAGTACGTTATTGAACATGTCAGCCGTAGCGTAAAGGATGGTAAGTGGGTCTCACAGTCAATAGAGGGAGGTTCAAATCTCGCTTCGGTGTTCTCTTTTGCTGTTGTGGTTGGCATTCTTCGGAACTTCCGCAAGACCTCATTTCGGAACTTCCGAAGTATGTTTACGGAACTTCCGCAGGTGATCCGGCGGAACTTCCGCAAGCGCTCTGCGGAAGTTTCGGTCATTTGTCTGAGTAGATCCAGAAAGTTCATATTTATCTCATTCTTGATAATTTTTCAATCTTTGTAAGTTTTTTGTGCCATAATTTTGTGCAAAAATTTCTCACACTCACACCCCCCCCCTCCGCTCCCTCTCCTATGGGTAACAGAACATTCTAGAGGCTACTGCATGACGAAGGCGCAGAAGCAGTATTAGTTGAGCGGGCGCGAAGGAGCACGCTCACCGTTGTAAATTCTGCGCCTCGCGCTCTGCGGCTAATAAAGTCGCGTTCGCGCCCAAAGAAGTTGTGCCTTCGTCCTGCGGCAGTGTATAATTATCTTTTAGGAGGAACTGTGCACTCAAATTTTTTACTTAAGTAATTGTGCAGGAATTTTTTTCCATTTTTTCAGTTACCACTCGGTAAGAAAATTTAAAGGCACATGAAGCTTCAAGGATGGTTGATCTCTGACTCCTGCAAAAAATAAGCCAGAAAATTTCGTGAGAATTTCGTATCCGCCTTATGGCATACTCCTTGAAAAAAAAAGCTCCATAATGTTCCTTTTATCTTCCCAGCGTCCTAGAGCGAATTGCCATCTCACAACTCTTCCAGTATTAGAGAATGGAAAGTTTTTCCTTGTATGTTCCCTAATTTTTAATTAATTCTCTCAAGTTTAGCACTTTGAACAATCTAGATTTTTTTGGGATTGAGCAAGTTTTTGGCCATTTTGGGCAAGCAAGGGGGAGGCCAGTTGTTTACGTTAGTATGCTGCCCTGTCCGCAACACAAACAAACTTCTTTGTAGGATTTTTCTGCAAAATATTGCCATCTTAGCCAGTTTGGGTGCAGTAGTGTAATGCGGTCTATCGTCATCTGTTACGTAACATAACGAAAATGGATGAAGTGATGTGCTAAAAAAAATTTAAAGGACTAGAACTTTGTGAACCATCATCAAGGATAAGTATTAGGCTGGAAACTAAGTTTTGCAACTGTTTTCATAACTTCACTCAAACTTTGACATTATGTAGAAGGCAATGTCTGCTATAAGAGAGCACAAATTGTCTAAATTTTGAACACGAAATAGAAAAGTTTCAGGCGTTTTTCGAAAGCTAGTGAAATTTGAGAATTTTTGGGGTTTCAAGCTAAAATGAAGCCTTTAGCAGCCTAGACCATGCGCAGTAATCCGGATTCGTCTACAAATTATTGCTGGAGGTTGACTCCTTTGGCCTATGAAGAGAGAAACAAAATTTAAGGGCATGTCGAGATTTGGCGTCCTCATAAAGTCGAAAGAGTCGATGTACGCAAGAGCTGCTGGGACGACCGTCAATGACTAAAGAGTCCGAAGCTCAAATTTCGCCAGACTTTACATAGTAAGGTTATTTGACCTGCCAAACGCGAATATCACATTCATTTGTTGAATCAACGCCTTTTTCCTTGTTTAGGGTGAGACCCCATATCGTACACCTACAGTAATCCTACAAAAAGCCATCATCACGCAATTTCACTATCGTTTTCGTGATCAGCATGTCGGATAACACCCCTATGCCAAGTTTCAGCCAAATCCGTCAAACTTTGGATTTTTCTTTTTCATACCATGCACCTACCGTAACCCTCACTGCGACGTCAGAATATGGTAGAAAAGCAGCTGCGTTTGTAGCTTACGTAATAACCAACGCAGTGGCAAAATTTGAGTGCGCCATGTTGCGTGAGAGTAAAGTTATGAGACCAGTTGCAAAACTTAGTTTCCAACCTAATACTTTCAATACGAATATGTATTGCCCAAAATCTTTTTCAAAAAACTGGACAGTGATGGATTTTCAGTGGTTTGGTTGGTCAAAGGCATTCATATTGCTCACTTATTATTTTTCTCGAAGAAATTCAAAAGAGCGGGTTTTGCAAGAAGGCGAGATATATAAGAAGACGATTTGCTTGCAAACTCTACGAACTGTCACTTCGAATTCTCATAGTCTTATATCAATTTTCTTGGAATCCCTAGTTTTATGAGATTCAACGTTTTTGCAAAGATAGACTGTTCTGGCTCTTGTCACTATAATTATATTATTTTACAGCAGATAAAATCAATAAAAAAATTGTACCTGTATGTTTTTGGAAGATTATTGAAGTGTTGTGTGTCTTGCATAAGTCTAATCAACATTTCCATAGTTTGGAAATTTCTCCCACATTGGAGGCACTTCAAAATTGAATCCACATCGTTTTCTTTCCGCTGTTGGGCTGAAAATATCACATCTCTTGTCATTATCTTCTAATTTTTGTGTAGTCTCAAAAGTGATAAGAAATTATCGATTTATTGATCAAGCATAAGTGATTATTCATTCTTACCATTAAGATATTCACCTTGCATTTTTCCAACAAACTGAAACAACGCTCCCAATCCATTACTAAATGTGCTCGCAGATGAACGAACCGGCTGTCCTCCTGCAATTAAAAAATAATAGCAAAAATACCTAAGCATAAAATCAAAATTACAAAAAAAAACTGGGGTTTTAACAATTGCAATAACAGATTCTCTTGATTCAGAACATTTTGAGTGGATCTATTTGTATGTTAAGATTTTATTATGTTAGTAACAATTTTTTGTTTGAAAAAAATCAAATTTATCTACAAAGAAAAACAAATAAAACACAAAAATTTTTCCGGCTTCACAAGGACAATAACATTCACGGTTGGGGTGGAGGTGTGGTTCTGCGATGGAGCGTATTAACGATTTTAAAGTGATTCAGCCAAGGTAATCGTGTCCCAAAAATTTTTGAAGTTTGCTTATCTATTAGGTTGTCAAGAAAATAATGTCGGTTTTTATTTGCTTGCTTTAACAAAGCAACCAGACTCAACCCAACAAAGGGTAAGGGGTACTGTTCGATAGAGAAAAGCAAGCTCTACAAGGTGGCACTCATGGCACTCATGGCACTCATGCCTTTGCGCCATGCTCGATCCACGGAGAGTTCGAACTCAAAATCTAAAGATTTCCAAATGCCCAAAAAATCGAAAAAAATCAGATCTTCGTCCAAACAATTTCTACGGACCTCTCACTCGCTCACATCAATACTATCGATATCTGATATCCACATGTGCGATTGTCGTATTTTTTCCTTGACTAGAAAATGAGAAAACGAAAATTTCCCTGATTTTCTCAAAGCAATGCTGAGCCGTTTTTGCATATGTAGTTCTATACTACAAGCCTAGGTAAGTATAACTGTAGATTTTCGGCCCATTCCAAGCGGTAGTTTTCGAAAAATAACGAATTCGGATTTTTTCGTTTCAGTTTCAGTGCTAAAATCGACATTTCTGGACGAAGATCTGATTTTTTTTCGATTTTTTGGGCATTTGGAAATCTTTAGATTTTAAGTTTGAACTCTCCGTGGATCGAGCATGGCGCAAAGACAGGAGTGCCATCTTGTAGAGCTTGCTTTGCTCTATCGAACAGTACCCCTTATCCTTTGTTGGGTTGAGTCTGGTTGCTTTGTCAAAGCGCAAGTAACCGACATTATTTTCTTGACAACCTAATAGATTACGATAATTGGTGCGCTTTTTATTTCATTGTTTTCGTTCAAATATTTCAATTTGGATTGATGTAAAAGCAACTTTTCTTCTTTTATTCTTCCCAAGCCATATTCAGTCAACATTTTCTTGATCCGAAATGTGTGCTAAATATCGAAAATGGAAGGGGAGCTGTACTTCCAAATTTTGAGAAATGAAAGTTTTCCTGTCCGAAAATTCACCACAGTACAAATACTAACACGAAAAGTTCTCGTCGTATAAATCTACTGGGTTTTTTTTCAGAAAAAAGGTCTGACGAAAAAACAAAATTTTCTCTTCTTTTTTGTTGAAATTGTACCGCATTTATGTTATTCTTTAGGTTTGAAATAGAACACTTTCTTACGCTCTTAGTTTCTCTGCGACAATCGAAGACGGAAAAAACATTAGCTAGCTAGTGGCGCAGAAACGAGGATAGTCGTTGATGGTAATGATTGATTGCGCTACGAAAACTCGTTCAGCATGAAATTCCGAGTGTTTCGTAAGCATTTAGTAAAAGAAAACTATTATGATTATTGCACTGAGCGGATTTCTTGAAAATCCATGATTTCCCCACAAAAAAGTCACACCGCAGCAATAAAATCGCGCAAAAATAGCGCTTAATCCGTTTGCCTATTAGTGGCTCCCTTTCTAACGACAATTCGTCGGATTTTTACGACTATTGATGTTCTAGCATGTGACCTGGATCGTCTTAGCCGCGGAGATTATACTTGTATGTGCCGACGCGCGCAAGATCGTCTTCAAGCGGAATCCGCGTCTCGACTTGTCAGGTCATGTCCATCAATCTCGTCTATTCAACCGCTCATCAAACGCCCGTGAGTCCCGCGGCCGATAACTGGCGACAGCGCCCGGGAGAGTCGAAAAGCGCACCAGTTACACAGTCACGCTAGATGAAGAGAACGCGAGCATATGCGATTATTATGTGGTAAATATCGTCAAAAAAGCATTATGCTCTCTATACCCCCCACCCTTAAAGCGTAAAAAAATCCAAGCACTCAGCTGGGCTCAAAAGGCGATCCAAAACAAGCATAAATGGATGTTTTGTTGAAATCAATGCAATTCCACTCCCCCTCCCCGCCTTTCCCTCTCCAAATCCGAAATCGACAAGATATATAAAGCAGTTCTAAAAAGGGTTCATTAAGCAGTTTTTTTGACTATGTAGACCCGAGTCATGCTCCAGGAAATTTTCGAGATAGTGGATTGATAAAAATTTTTCTCGAATGAAGGGGCGTGGCTTCAAGCACACTCTACGAAAACATTTTGAGACAATTAACAAGTAAAAACCAGCCCCTTGCACAGTTTCAAAGTCCATATAGGCTACTTTCAGAATTTTCGCGATTCACTTAAGGAAAGAAGGAGCATGTGGTAGAATGCATTTTGATATGTAATTATTTATTGCTTAAAAAAACTCCTTTAGCAGCTAGAAAAGGAGGCAGGGAAAAGGGGTCTGAAATAAATTTTTATCTCAAAGCGAATCGTAAAATTATTCTTAACTGGAAGGGACCCATAAATTTTTCTTGTAATCATCTAACTCATTGCCAACGTGAGATTTTTTTGAGCTATCGTAGAATGAAGAGTCCAAATGCGCATGAACTAAAACGTGATTGAATATCTAAGGCATCGATCTCGACTTAGCGCAAAAGGAAAGGTCTAATTTGACTCTGTGCCAAGATAATTCAATCAAATTCTAATGCAATAGTTTTTCTGTAATTGCAGAAATTTCTGCGGCTACAAAAACGTGCGAAATTCTCCATGCTATTTTTACCGACAATATTTCACGTCACCTTGACGAGGAGATCCTACGTTTACGATGTTGATGTGTTTCTCGTTACGTTTTCGGCTGCTCATTAGCAGTCCTTAGCCAAGATGAATGGTAGCCAGTAGAGCAAGATAAATGTTTGTCAAATTGAAGAACGTTACTGCAAGAGACGAAAATGTTTGTTAGAAAGTTTTTGCACGATAGCTGGTGAGGTGGATTGACCGCTGACGGTTTTCTTCAAAATTCCATTTTTTTTATAGGCTTGATAATCACGATCACATTCTGCAAACGAAAATAAAAGTTGTGTACATGAGGTATGTGGAAGCCTTCTGCAAAATTTAATATTTATAGAGTGGTGAGTCAGTAGAAAATAATTGGAAAACCAACAATAAAAATAAAAATTCGAGTGAGTGGATCAGATAATTGCTTTTTTAGCACTGCATATGCATCTTTGGTAACCAGATGACTATTACGGTACTTATACGGTGCAGAGTGAATGTTCAAAACATCGCGAAATCATTGTGAGACGGTTTGCAGACATAAATTCCATTATGCTCGGGATGAGCCAAAAAGGAAAGAGGAGATTAAGAAAAAAGGAGTGTTTTTGCGCGGGCTTCCTTCTAAGGGAAAAGTTTTTTCTTGATTAGAAACGATGCAGTTTACGTTAGATTCTTAGGCAGATGTATACAAAGATAGGGAGAGAAAGAAGCTTTTGAAACAAATTTCAAAAAGCCTACTCGTTTGCAGAATAAAAAGATTATTCTAATCATTTCTTGTGCCAAAAGAGTTATGATAAAGTTCTATGAAATCAAAGGGATCTAGCAATGGCGGTCCCATGATTTCCGTTCGGGGAGGGGGCGGGGGGAAGGGAGAGGAATACATTTTTTCCAGTATAGGTGCGCGGGGTTAGCCAAGCACTGTGCAAAATTTTTTGGGATGCTTCCCAAAATTTTTGGGGGCCCTCGAAATATCAGAAAAGGACGTGGCGGCATTACAATTATTTATATATACATGTAAAGAAGTCCTGCACAATTTTATCCCTAAAGCAAAAATTCGAGAGGCCTTTTCAGAATTTATTTTCCGTAATTTGGGTGGATTTTTGCAGAAATTGAAGAACGTTATCGAGGAGCCATTCCCCCCTCCCCTCCCTGCACTGCTTTACTTGCTCATTCCAAAAAGAATGGAAGCAGAGAGATCTACTCTGACAATCCATATCTGCCCATAATCTTTGTTTTTGTGAACATTTTTTCTATACCGTATAGTTACCGTACCCTTCTACTGGTTCGATTGGCCCCTGTGAAATATGCATATATCATAACATATCATCATCATGTAACATACCATATCATCATATATCATATATCATATCTTATCACTGATAGTTCAATCTTGTCTTGCCTGAGTTGAAGTTTTGGGTTTTCTAATTACTTTAATTAGTTGATTTGATTAAGTTCAGCTAATTTCCTTCGTGTTCCTAATTTGCATTACCATTTCTACATAACCGCAATTCTTGCAAAATTGAGGGCAAGTGAAGGCTCATGTAGTGTTCAGTGAACGATACATGCGAGAATTTATTATCATACAAACCGTAAGGGGTAAGAATTATTAGCTGTAATGCAATATCAAATAATGCAGGCAGTAAGACATCAAGCGAATAATAATCGAATGAATTTGCTAAAAATCTTCAAGTTCCCGGAGCAACTTATACTGCCGATCAGCCAAGAAATTCGAGAGCTAAGATGGAAAAACTGTGATCTTTCATGCCATAGTCATCCTTTACAGAATATGATTTTATGAACCCAAGGTGGCACATATATTCGCAAAATTGGAGTTGCAAAGTAATGCCTTTGAAACACGCAATAATCTAGATTTTTTTTCTACATTTTGATACTTAGCTGGAGATACTTGGAACAATTTGGAACACTTTTATGTCCACGATGTGATACCTTCTTGCGCTATTACATCTTAGTAAGATGCACTTGCCAGAAACAATTTCTTCTAGGAAATTAGCGAAAATTGCGAATGTCGTTGTGTATGTGGCCATTTTGTCTCTAAGATACGAAAGCTATAAAAATGCCGCAGTCACACATTTAAAAGCTATTAAAATTGGATTAC